GCGCAGGTCCCCTGATTTCACCCCGCACCTGCCTCCCTGCGCAGCCCCCTGGCGTGAGTGGTCATGTCCTGTCTCTGGCCCAGGAGAGCATCTGCTTTGTGGCCGAGGGAAGGAGGGACTTGACCCTCTGGCTGAGCAGGGGTGGGCCCAGGCCTGAGGCCTGCCCACTTTAGTTTGTTCTTACATTTTTGAAGGGTTGAAGGAAAACCAAGGGAAGAACAACGTTTGGGGACACGTGAGCAATGAGAGTTGGGTCTGTGCTTTTGCGCGGCTCATGGCTCGCTCCTGGATGCCCAGCGTAGATGCAGAGCGGGCTGGTGGATGGAGGCGTGTGACCGTGAAGCCTGCACTCCCTCCCTGCGTGCCCACCCACCCTCCAGCCCCCAGAGGCCCAGAAAGCAAGCTGCCAGCCTGTCTGCTGTCACTGGGCCTCTGCCCAGCTGCACGGGGCCGATGGATTTCACACACTCGGTCATCTTTCCCAGACTGTTCAAACTGGAGGGACTAGTAACACTGCCTCCCAACCCGAGAGTCTGTGATTCATTCGGAACTACAGGATGTCTCTTTATCCTTTGGGGTTTTTACAAGGTTCTCAGAAACCTGTCAAGGGCCCCGAGTCCTCCCTGCTCAGGGCCTTCCCCGGCAGGCTCCTCGGGGTCCCGGGCCCCCACCCAGCTGCTACCGCCCGCCCTCCACTGACCGCAGGTGGCCTTCCTCGCTCTTTCCTGCGCTCTCCCTGAGGAGAGGGGCCCAGGGGGCCATGGCTGCTGACGCACAGCTCTGGCCAAAGCTGGTGTCTCTGCTCTCCCCATCCATGAGGGGCTTGTGGGCCTCCTTCCCCTGTGCCCGTAACCCTGGGAAGGTGTTTACTTTCCGGAGGTGCCATGCAGAAGGGGGAGGATCCTGTTGCTCCTCCCCCATCCCCTTCCTCCTCCCCTTTCCAGGCGCATTTGGGGGTTCTGGGCTGGCTGCTGGCCCCTCCCCGGACCCCATGGTGGTTGCACTGTCTTTCAGTGACGTGGCGGGACCACACCCATGGCAGCTTGAGCTCGTGTGCTGACCCTGCTGCACTTAGCAGATGTGTCTGCAGCCAGCCTGCTTCCTGGGGGAGTGGGATGATCTGAATAAAGTCTCCGTCCCTCCCCCACCCCATCCATTTTCTCTAGAAGAGAGAGGAGAGATGTGTGGGCGGGAGTCACAGAGGCAGTGGGAAATGGGATTGTTGGAGAGGAGAGGGCAGATCACTGGGTATTGAGCGGGAAGGAGACGGGCCATGGTTGTCCAGCTGGCCCGGGGTGCCTGGCTGACGGAGACGGATGGGGTTGCGGGCCAGTGGCCTCCGGCCCGTCGGCTCAGGAGACACCAGCCTCCCAGAGCACCTGGCTTGGGGCCTTCTGCTCTCTGCTTCCGCAGACGCTGAGGCCTTTGAGACGGCCCTCTCCCTCCCTTGCCCTGCGGTGGCCCCTGTCCTTGTCACGGAGGCCAGGGAGTGATGGCCAGAGGCGTGGCCCTTGCTGTGACCCCACAGACGTCCCTCCTGACTGAGGAGGCAGCAGCCTCTTCCATGTGGGGCATCTCCTGGTGTCTGAGCCCCCAGGAGCCACCTTCTGCGTGGAGGGCAGGAGGTATAGCGGAGGGAAGTTTCCTGTGCCCGGCTCCTGCCCCACCTCCACTGGCTTGGCGCACGGGCAGGTTGTTTAGACCATAAACTGGGGCTGCACTCAGCAGATCCAAGAGCATGAGAAAGAAGAGGTGAGACCCCCCCCCAGATTGTCACAGGGTCAGCAGGGTCTCAGAGGCAGATCCCCTGGACAGTGGATGCCTAGCAGCACTAGGGGCAATGGTCTCCAGTGCCCCTTCCCCTTGGGGTTCTCTGACCTTGATATGTGTGTAAGTCTGTGTATTGTGTGCCCACCGTGTGTGTATGTGTGTGAGTGTCTGTGTGTATCAGTATGTATGTGTGTCCATCTGTGTCCGTGTGTGCTCCGTGAGTGTGTCTGTGTGCACGTGTGTGCACCTGTCTGCACACACTTGTGTATCTGTTTGTGTGTGTGCATGTGAACCTGCCCTCACTCCGGAGTGTGAGTGAACTCCAGTACCATCGAGCGTTCAGTCCCCGTGAGTGTCTGGACGGTCTTTGTGTCCGGGCGCCCCTTTCCGTCACAGCCACGAGGCAGGACAGCAGAAGTGAGTTTCCACAGACTGACCGCGCCGGTAACCGGTGTCCAGAGCAGCACGTGGAGCATCACAAACACCCCGGAGCCCCCCGTGCCGGCCCCTCCTGCCCTCCATGGCACAGAGCAGTGTGGCCTGCCGCTGTGGGGTGTCCCAGCGGGACTGACAGTGTGGGCTCCGCTGTGTCTGACGTGTGATGTCCGGTGCTGTTTGCGCGCCCATCCTCGCGGACGGATGGTCTTCCACGTGGGGACCACACACTGCATGTGATGGGCGCGGACGGTGGGTGCCTGATTCCTGGTGGCCGTCTCTGAGGCCCCGAGTTCCCGGCCCAGGATGTCACCCTGCTCTCCTCAAGCAGGCACACCGCCAAGTGGCGTTTTCAGGGCAGCCGTGTCAGTTCCCGTCCTCACCAGCACAAGCCCTGGCTGCTTGGCACCCGTGGTGCTCGGTGTTCTCCATCTGTTCGGTGCCGGCCGGGCGTTCGGGGGGGAGCGCAGGGTATCTCACCGCCGTGGTAATTAGCATCCCTCTGACGCTTAATTTGCGCTCCATTTTATGCTTTGTTGGCCCTTTGGATACTTTTGTGAAGTGTTCACCTCTTTTGCCCACTTTGAAACTTGAATTGTCTGCTTTTGCCTTGCCTGTTTGTGTGAGTCCTCTGGGGTTCTGGCCCTGAGTCCTGGGTCAGATTTCTGTATTTCCAGTGACCGCCTCTGCCCATCGCCTGCTCACTCTCTGAGTCCAGTGTGCTTGTGTTCACGTGTGGCCAGCGCTTCGGAACCTGTTTCCGAAAAACCTCTGTCTGCTCCAAGGTCACCATGTTCTCTTGTGTTTTCTTCTAACAGTGTTTTGTGTTATCTTCTGTTTGTAAATTTGCCCTCCCTCAGGAGTCGGGGTTTGTGTGTGCTGTGAGGTCAGGGTGATTAGGGCATCCCGTGGCCCCCACACCATTTACTGGGGAGACGACCCTTCCCCCTGGTCTCCGTCTGTCCATGCGTCAGTGGCTCTCGGTCGTCACCGCTGAGACTCAGGTGTCGTGGCATCTGCCACGTGGTCCCACAGTCGTGCTCACCTGCCACAGGCTGCGTGGCTCATCCGGGCCCTGGGTCGGGTCTGAGATTTCAGGTTGTTCCCCACATGCTTACTGAGTGCCACACGGAGGCCGGGCCTCACTTGCTCTCCATCTCTGCATTGCCGACCTTGTTTCCCCTGGGATGGATGGGCCTCTTCCAGGCCGGGAGGGAAGAGGTGGGACACGTGGCAGACAGGCCTTTGTCCTCCCAGCCGCAGCCTCAGGGAGGAGGAGGCTTCTTTCCCAGCCTTTCCTGGCTACCGAGGATAAAACCTCAGGAAAGTGGCCTTGCCTGGTCCCAGGGCCACCCTCGCACTGGTTTCTGGGGTCAGGCAAGAGGGGGTTCCTCATTGGCCAGAGTGGGCTGGTGTCTGCTCACCGGGGTGGGGGCTGCCCCTTCAGGGAGCAGCGGAGGGGGCCTTCGAGGTGGGCCTGCTGGCTGAGCGAGGGTTCTCCTGGGGGGCAACCAGGGTCCCCAGCAGAGGCGGGTGGACGAAGCAGCAGAGAAGCTTGACACAGTGACTTGAACACCTGTGTCCACACAGAACCGGCACGTGACTGCTCGTAGTGGCTTTCTCCATAAGTGCCCAAACTGGAAGTGACGAAGGTGCCCCTCAGGAGTGAGCGGACCCGCAAACTGGTGTGTCCGCACAAGGGAGTGTGACTCAGCTTTCTAAAAAGAAATGAGTCAGCAAGCCAGCAGAGGGTGGGTGGAGCCTTCCGTGCACAGCACTAAGTGAGAGCTGCCCGTTTGAAGAGGCTCTGGCTGGCCGTGTTCTGGAAAAGCCAGAACTATGGAGGCCATGAGCGTGGGGCCAGGACACGTGATGTGCATTTGTCAACACCCACTGAATCTGATCACGACATCAACGTGTGTGTCACTGTGACATCATCCATGAGGCCAGCGAGTGAGCGACCTTCCAGTGCTCGGAGCAGTGCCCCAAAGCAGGACCGGGCTCGACCTCAGTGCCTGGGCAGCCGAGAGGCTGAACCCAGAGGCACGAGGGCCTGCGCTCAGCGTGATGCTCCTCACGCACGGCATGTAGGTGTTGGACCCAGTAACCGCGTTGAGGGTGGGCGGCTAGGGCAGCAGAGGAGGAGCCGAGCTGGGCCACGCTGTGGCAAGGTGTGGAGGTGGATGTCCGTGTGAACCCGTCCTCAGTGTAAAATAGACACAAGTGGCTGGGCTCGCAAGTGTTTGTAGACTCGCAGCCGAGCGAGGCCCGTGTCCACACTGGCAAGCCGTTGATGGCTCTTGTGCTGCTCGGAACAGGGACGGGGGCATGGCCACGCGGGGACTCTGAGCTCTCGTCGCGATCTCTCTCTAAGTTCTGTATTGTTTTTCTATGTCTGTGGACCTTGAGACAGCAGGGTGTGTGGGAGCAAGGCCCCCAGGCGTGAGAATATTTGCCAGTAGAGTGTTTTGAGGGTATAGAGGTTTCGAGATGCCCCTCCTATTTGCTTTTACAACTGTTGTGCGGGAAGACAGAGAGGCACTCGGGTGACCTGATCACCTGCAACATTCCGAAGGGCTGTCTCGCAGGTTTTTCCGTGTATTCTTCCCCAGCTACTGCTTACCACTCCTTGAGGCGGGTAACGGCACCATCATCGGCTTATTGATCAGGGCGTAGAGGCCTGGGGAGGGGGTGGCCGTCCCTGCCCTCACGCTCCGGTGTTGAGGCCCCACATCGATCACCAGAGCCTTGCGGCGTGGGTCCAGGCTGTACTGACCTGCCCTGTGGTCCTGCAGGGCAGCTACGACCAGAGCAGAACCAAAGTGCTGCACATGAGCATGAACCCGGCCAGCGCGGCCAAGCAGCGGCTCCGTGGGGACCAGGCCCGGCTGCAGGAGGAGTGCGAGCAACTACGGGAGCTCGTGCGTGCCCTGGAGCGAGGCGGTCCCGTCCCTGCCGGCCTGGAGGCCGCTGCGAGTCTGCCTTCGTCCACGGAGCTGACAGGTAGGTCCGTGCCCCCGCGTCCTTGGGCCATCTCGTGGGCGGGGGCTGGGGGGAGGGCCTGGGACCGAACACCTCGCGGCTGCAGGTCACGGCAGGACGGCACAAGGCAGTAGTGGGGAAACGCTTTCCAGCCCCCCTCACACAGATTAATGCCCTTTTTCAGTGTACACGTGTCCCATTAATCATGAGTAGATCCGACACTCATGGAAACAGGGACCATCTTTCACGGGGCTCAGTACCTTACGCAGAGCCCAGCACCTGAGCAGGTGAGCTCGGACTCGGGAAGCTGCCTCTCTAACACGGCCGCACCCTCACTCTGCAGCTCCGCAAATCAGGGTGACAGCCCCTGAGCCCGCGGCTCGTCCCTGCCGGTGCGGGAAGATGACCCTCCTGTTTCCACGGAGTCCCATGCTGGACCTGCCCTGCGAGTGCAGAGACCAATGGCCCACCAGCAAAGGTGGGCGTGTGTGAGTGCCCCGCTTGCCTGGGGTCACCGTCCGCCATGAGGGCCATGCGCGGAAGCCAGCCTCTCAGCGGTGGAGCGTGGCCAGGAGGGGGCTTCCGCCCAGCCCTTCCTGCCGCAGCTCTGGCCGGGTCGCTGGGCCGTCAGTGTCACTGAAGGCCCTCCCGACAACCTCCTCATGCGGCTCATCTCATCCCTGTGGAGGCGGCAGGGCGCTAGCCACCCCTCGTCTCCCTCACTCTGCCTAGCCCTGCCTAGGACTTGTTCTCCACGTGTCCTCTTGGTCAGTGCTCTTGGACACAGCCCCGTCTCTGTCCCATTTGCCTTTGCCATGAGCCTGCCCTGGGGTGAGCTGGCGGGCACTCCCTGGGAGGTTTGGGGGTTTTGTTTTCTCATTGTCAAGGAAGATGTGAACCCACAGAGACAGGCTATTACAACAAACTTGGAATCAGGGAAGTTGGTGGGCGGGGGGTTGAAGGGTGAGCAACGGTGGAGCCAGGAGCCTTTCTGAGCCATGCCCTGGAGACCCCATGGCTGAAGGTGGTGGCGGGTGGCCCCGGAGGCAGAGGATCAAGGGTGCTTGCCGGCGGGTGTAATTACAAGGCATCGGCCCCCAGGTCTTCCACCCAGCGCCGGTGGTTGCCAGTGGCCTCTCCCCCAGCAAAAATGAAAAGAGGAAACAAAACCAAGGTGATTCTCTTAGAGCCTGAGTCCCAGAGAGCAGGTCCCACACGGGCAGGGCCCGCCCCAGGAACTTGTTAGGGACCCAGGATATCGGGCTCCGCATCAGGCCTGCTGGGTCAGACACACCTGTGGCCCACAGAGGGTCCCCAGATGGGAACACCAACGCCAGCACAGAGGCGGTGTGCATGGGTGCCTCGACCCCCACCCCAGCCCACCCCTCTCTCCACCCACCACAACACCTTCTGGACGGGCTCCTGGCGCGGGATCTGACATTAGAGGCCCTGGCAGACCAGGCCTGTCTCCGCTCCGGCAGGACCCGCAGAGCCCTCTGCTCACTGTGAGCAGGGGCCCAGGACTGTCGGCCCTGAGGACGCGAACAGCACAAGTGGGAAGAGAAAGCCTTCAAGGGATTGTCCCCGGATGTCCTCAGAGAGGAAGAAGAATGTGTTGCTTTACTTTGAAGAGTGTTTTCAAAGAGGAAACACGTGAACTCTTCTGGAAGTTAAAAACACCAAAAGTGAAATGAAAATCTAAACAGAAGACTTACAAAATTGGGGGAGGTTATGTGAACAGGAGAGCAGAGGCCGGATGAAGGTGGGAGGGGCGTGGGGTGTGCGCGGTTTGTCTGGTGGGTCCAGGAGAGGGCAGGGACCCCGGGAATGCGCGGCTGGCTGGAGGGAGGCGCCCCACACTGGGACGTGTCATCCTGGGACTTCTGAACGCAGGGACGAGGGGACCTGTTGCCTCCCGTAGTGGGAGAAAACGGGCCGCTCCATTCTCAACTGCGGCCCAGGGAGCGAGAAAGCCTCCAGGGGCTGGGCTCCGGTGCCTGAGAGACTGGACAGCGGCTCACGGCCAGCCCTGTGCTCAGGCCCATCAGGGAGGAATTCAGTTCCATTTCCGATGTTCAATGTGTGGAAAACCCTACCTCGCCGTTCCCTCTCTCACGAGGCCTGTGGAGGATGCGTACCCGTGAAATGAGAGCAGGAGCCAGGGAGCAACACAGATACAGGAGGCCCGAGTGCCAGCCCTGGAGAGATGAGGAGGACCCAGGACAGCCGCCCCAGGGGCAGCCGGAGCAGGTTGAGACTGGTCAGAAGGTTCTGGAACCACTTCAGACAGATGAGGTTGCAGAACGTAAGGTGTCCAGTGTCTTGAGAGACGGTGTGGACCAGAGCTTTCCTCACCTGTGTGCCGGACTGCCGGCTCGTGGTTCCCACCGCACGGTCAGGGTGCTCCAACGTGGACACCCGGTAGGGAGGTTTGCCGAGTCGGTCACGAGTACCTGGAAAACAGAGCCACTGGAAAAGCAGGACTGTCACCAGCTGCAGGGGAAGCAGAAAGTGTGGGGGAGAAAGTCCTGGTCTCCTGCCCAGCCCAGCTCACGTGGCTACAGTCAGGACAGCATGGGGTTCTGACGCAAGCAACTTAGGGCATCCTGTCCTGGGAGAGGGCAGAGGGCGGTGGGCACTGCTTCAGCTGTCTGACCCAGGAGCGCCATCACTCTCGTGGTTCTTCCACGAGAGGACTTAGTACCCAAGTGACCATCCAGTGGGTGCAGCTGATGCCCTGAGGGAGTGGGAGACGCCTTGTCCCGCCACTGGACTCTCGACGGCTAAAACCTACCTGTGCAACAGAGTTGGCGTAAAAACAAAGCCTAAAGTTTCAGATGTGTGTGCAAGTCTGGCTTGTGAAGGCCAGTGCGTGCCAGCACTCTGCTGAGGCACGGGGGCTGGTCTGCAAAGACAGAGGCCAGAGCCTCATTTGGGATGGGCCTGGGGTGGGGACTTGGCGGGGGCGGGTCCCATGCTGGACCCGGCAGTGGCGACTGACTGGGCGTGTGAGGGGGAAGCAGGGGGTCACCGTGTCCATCCTGGGGCACATGGCTGCCACGGCGGGGGGAGGTGCTTCCGCCTCTCCGGAAGCTCGGTGGGAGCGGGAGCTCTGAGAACCTCCACTGGGTTTGCAGCCTGTGTTTGCCCACGGTCTCGTGCCAGGCGTTTGTCTTACGTTTGCAGGAGAAGCGGGGGCAGCTGCATGGCGAGTATGGTCGTGGGACCCCAGCCCCGGGCAGCTGCCTCAGCCCCGAAGGAGCGTGTTAGAACAACCATGAGCCTCGCGGTTGGCGTTTAAGTGGGTAGACAGCTGGCTGCTGCTGAATGGATGGTGGCGTGCAGACGGAGCATGGGGATTAGACGCCAGCCTCTGTGGAGGCCCTGTCTGTTCCTGCCAGCAAGGCTGCAGTCCGTCAGCAAACGCGCCCTCTTGAGCCACCCGTGCTGTCTGCAGTGCATGCGGTTCCAGCAGCGCAGGGCCAGGCTGCTGGGCCGTGACCTCTGACCTCCTGCCAGTTGCAGGAGCCCCCGCACTTGCAGGCCCCTGGCCAGGTGTCTGGGTACCCCGAAGATGCGCCGCAGGGAATGGGGCTCTAGTGGACTTCCAGCCACCAACAGATGCCCCCCGTGCTGCTGCCCTCCACCCCCGGTCTCGCAGGCCAGGCTGCCCTGCCACCTCTGAGCGGGCTGCCCACCTCCCCCCACCCCCCACCCAGGCCTTTGGCTGTGCAGACCGGTGTTGGTTGCTGGGAGCAGACCGGCTTGCTCTGGTCTGGCCTCCGGCTGAAGGCCAGAAATGAGGCAGAAAACACATACAGGGGCCCCCGCCCTTGGGCACCCCAGGGTTAGCACAGACCAGTGGACCTCGTAGGAACGTGACCAGTTCCCTGACAGATGACGTAAAGGGTGCTGACGGTCCAGACAGGTTCCCTCCTGCTGTGCACAGGACACCACCTCCGAGCTAGCCTTGCAGAGCTGCCCCCGAGTTCAGTGCGGGTGCGCACGGCCCTCAGATGGAGCAGGTGTGCCGTGGCAGGTGACCGGACTAGTGGCAGGGGCCTGGCCTCCTGAGGAGCACACCTTTGCTGAACAGGAGAAGGACCCGTCAGGTTAGTCAGGATGGGGGAGGGCGCACAGCCCCCCACCCTCCCTAACCGTGCTCTCAGAGTTCGGGGGAGAGCTGGTCTGAGTTTCTGGTGGATCTTTGACAAAGGAATTGCTGAACAACCCGTAGCAAGGGCCCAGCCTCCTGGGTCAGCAGGAGCCTAAATCCTCAGCCTCCGCCAGCTGGCTCTTGGCTCCTCACTGGGCCCCCTGCGGTACCCAGGCTAGGCCAGGGAGATTATTAATTGCAGCCTAATTAGGTAATGCATTAATATTAAAATAACCGAATCTTGTCAGCAACACAGTGAAGGTGATCAAGTTTGTCACTGCCTGGCTGTGTGGGTGCAGCTGATCCCAAGGTGTCCCTGCGTGGGGGAGGGTGGTGGGGTCCAGGGAGGAGCCCTGGACCCCCCTGCTCTGCCCGGGCACAAAGAGTAGCTTGCTTCTTCCCTCAGCCGCTCTGTCTTCTCTGCTGGCTTATGAGGCAGCTGGTCCATGCTGTGGCCACCGCCAGTTCAGCTGGCGGGGAGCCGGGGGGCCACGGGTCGTGAGTCCAAGAGGTGGCATCTAGGTGCTAGGCATTCTGGGGTGGCTCCACAAGGCATAGGCCATCTAAATTTCTGCCGTCCCCATGCCCTCGGCAAGGCAACCACCCCAGGCTTCCACTGGCTCGCACATAGGTGAGGGTAGGGTGCTGCCAGGGTGGAGATGGGGTCGACGCACCGTGGCCCCCCGAGGCAGGGGCACACAGTCCCGTTAGCCAGCAGCACTGGCCGCCTGCCACCTGCTGGACCCACAGGTGTCAGCGGGGCCTGTCCCTGCCCTTAGGACAGAGTGAGGGGAGAGCCATGGGAATCAGGGGCCTCGGAGCAGACCCTGGGTGTAGAGGGCCAAGGGAGGGGCAGACTGTAGTGGCTGGGCAGCTTCTGCAGGCCAGGGCAGGGGGCTTCGGCTGGGCTTTGTGGGCTGAGTAGGAGGGGAGAAGGGCTACTCTTCCAGGCAGGGGTCCTCCGAGCTTGTCCCCCGCCCCCACCACGTGTGCTCCACCTTGTGTGGGGCTGCAGTGAGGGCGGCCGGCAAGGAATGCATGATCCGGGTGGGGAAAGAAGACCGACGAGCCCAGAGAGTCCAGGGAGCAATGTAGGGTGTCTCCAGCCACCTCCGACCCCCACCCCAGATGAGCTCTCCCATTGTCCCCGAGGGGTGGGCACTGGGAGCTGCAGGAGGGTCCCGGTCTCGGGCTCTCCTGACCCACCCACCCTGCAGAACAGCCTTTACCCCCGAGGCCTGGCAGCAGGTGGGAAGGGAGGGGTGGCCTGGGTCTCTGAAGCCACTGGCCGGTGCCTGAGTGGCGCACACGTGGGGTGGATC